ATTTTTAAAAATAAAAATTAAAAAGTAATAAAAAAAGAAAAGAAAGAAAGAAAGAAAGAAAGAAGAGAGCAACCAAACCAAAAACTAAATCCAATCCACCAATGATAACAAGCGCTAAAAACTATACTGAAAAAAAAGAAATAAAATGGACAGACAGAACCCTAAGACAAATGGTAAAAGCAAAGCTTAAGTCTTAGCTTCATTGGACACTGCACACAAAGCCTTGGGCTCCGTAAAACTCTGATTGGCTCATGTACAAAATTCAACCTCGAATTTTATCTTAGTTTCATTTGGAAGGGTCACTCCTGTCATGATCAAGGGTGGTACGAACGGCTCTCCTTTGGGGAGTGATCTGAATCTTCAGAATCTCCCTGCAACTCCAAATGGGATCTGGGCTCCAGACTTTAAATAAACAGTTTACAATGTCGTCCAATCCAGTCATCGTCTTCACTGGATTCTCTGACATCTGACCTCCAATTTTTACCCTAAAAGGAAATTATTAAACAGTGTTCACAGAACAAAATACACATATCATTAATGGGCAGCTATTTGAATATTGAAATGTGTAATCATCACCAGGATCACGACATAAAAATTTTTTGTCATTCAAGCATGACCCTCTGATACACCTTCCAGGTAATGCCCACCCATCCCCTGATACTTTAAACAATTCTGATGTCTTCCATCTCAAATTAGGCTTGCTCTTTCTTCAAGTTCATGGTTCTGAATATACACATTTCATTCTAGCTATTATCAAGCAACATTATTATGTTTTATATATATATGTGTGTGTGTGTGTGTGTGTGTGTATTTCTCACACCTTAATTTTGGTGTTAATGATAAGCATTACACTAATGTAAAACTATTTCACATATGATGAACATTGGGGTGGTTTCAAACTACAGCATTGGGAAAGGCTCATATGAATGCCTTTCTACTATAACTTGTGAATATGAGAATAAATATCCATTAAAGGTAAAGGAGCCATGGACCAAAAAATCGGCCAGGAAAGAAAAACCAGTGCCTTCTATCCTAGAGATGCTAGACTGGGGGAGTGGAGGGGCACAGTGAGGCAAGTCAGAGAAAAGTAGAATTTTTCTTGCCATTGAAGGGCATATCCTCTTCAATCATTTCTCCACTCTCCAAGGTCGACTGAGGGAAGAACCGACAATGGGAGCTTCACTCCAAAGTGGTTCAGGGCACAGATTCTGGGCTCTACTGGAGCATTTTCTGGGCATCTCTTCTGGGTAAGAGTGGACGCTGCAGGATTTTCTGCTGTTCCCTAAGGAGCAGAGGGAGAGATGCCTACCTGGCCAGGTTCCTGGGCTATGCCACCCAATCCCTCAATGAGGAGCTTCGATTCTGGGCCCTTGTGCCTGCCAAGAGAACCAACAAAGAAGGTGTTGCCTCCTACCACCACAAGTGCTCTCTCTTCCTCTTGTTAGAAAACATTGATCCAACTCCTTTCCCTATCACTAGAGGTGTGTTGGGACATTTTTGCTTGTTGGGAGGGGTGACTTACACTCCCGAAGAACACAGCTGGTCTAGAGAAGGAGGCGGGAGAAGGGGAAGCCGTTTGAGAGGCCATGGAGTTGGCTAGGCCTGGAAGGGAAAGCGTCATTGGTCCCGGGAGCCTCCTTGCGAAGGCAGGCCTCTGGCCTCCGTGTTCCCGGAAGTGGTACCTCCTTCTGACCTGCCCCAAAGGGACTGTGGAGTGCGAGGCCTCCGGGCAACATCTCCCATGTTTTTTCACCACCCCTGTGGTGTGGCTTCTCTCTTGCTGGTGCCTGCCAGCCAGCGGGCCTCCCCAGCAAAGTGCCGCACAGGGACCCCACACGCACACATAGACAGGACAGTCAGGAGGCTTGGCGCAAGAAGCAGGACCCATCCATACACTTTGGTCACGAAATAGGAGGGCCAGGAAGATGCGGCTGCTCACCGGAATTCCGAGGCAGTTGAACACAGCGTGGCGCGCCTCTTGCCCTGGGTTGGCGTAGCACAGTGAGGCATCACGGAAGAGACGTCGTCTGCCATGAACCAAGGGATATCAGGAGAGAGCGGCAACTCAAACCCCCGCCCCCACACCAGCACCAATTCCCTCCCACAGGTGGGGAAATCGCAGCCATCAGCTTTTCAGGAGTGCACTGGATAAGCCTTACACCCTGGGGAAAGCACCTTCAAGATCATGACAACTCTTTTGTCAGGTAACTAGGGGCACACACCCTGCAGGCACCAGTGCAGGCTCCCACCCCTCCAGTGTTCGCTCAGGATCACCACCCTCCCCTCCACCTGCCCTTTGCCATTCCTCTAAACTGCTCTCCCCAAAGGAATTCAAGCGAAGACCCTCCAAATCTCTCCCATCCACCCCCACACCCTCATAAACCCACCCACAGCCCGGTCCATCAGACTAACCACCTTTCAGCGGTGGCTCCAGAAGGAGGGACCCACAGCCTCAGCTCTGTCTCATCTACATACTCTACCCACTGCCTCTGCACACTTGGTCCACATCCTCTCCGCCTCCCTCTCCCTGGCTATCCTCTTGTCCTACAGTGGAAGCAACATTTGTCCTAATAGGTCTTCAGCGTGAGTGTCCAAGGGAAAAAGGAAAACATGCTCATTGTCTGGTAGAGACCACAGGGATTTGAATCAAGAGCAGTTGGAGAAGTTGCCTGGATAAACATCCTTTTTGTATTCTGGGATTGATTTTTACACCTACCTTCTGATTATGGCACCAATAACAGTTTTCCGTTTGTGGTAGTGAGATGAACTGAAAAGTCAAATTACTCAGGGAAATGAATATGACTCGAATGAAAGAGAATATGTAAACAGTATATTCCATCCTTGCTCAACTGATGAGTGTGTGGAGATGGCAAAGGCCTGGGAGGCCGGGCACTGTCCGCTGATGCTGTGCCAGTCATTGGATCTGCATGTGTCAGCACTAGGAACACACTGAGCCTGGGTCTCTGTCTCTGAGAGCTGCCTCGGAAGGATCCACCTGCACCACAGCGACCGACCACCTGACCCTGTTTCCTTTTCCTGGAAAGGCTAAGCCAGGGTCATCCTGGATCACAAAGGAAGATATCTTAACGGCCAGAAGTTATAAGAAAATATTCCTGACATTTTTATTCATTAGGGAAATGCACATTAATACTATAAGGAGATATCATTACACACCCTCCAGCATGGCTATATCTAAAAGAATTAGTACACAAAATGCTGACAAGAATGCACGGAAACTGCAACTGGTTTGAAACCATTCTAGGGCACTGTTTGTCAGTTTCTAATAAAGTTCATCTTGTACCTTCTCCACGACCCAGCAGTTTCAGTACTTCCATGAATGCACAAGTATACAAAAAGATTGGTATAGAATATTCATCAAAGCACCAAGAATATTCATCAAAAACAGTAACACCAAAATTACTCCAATAATACCAAAATTAAGAAGTGATATACACAATAATACGGTTATGTTTAATGAACATAATGTTGTATTTAAAAAGCCAGATACAAAAAAATACATTCATTCATTTGAATTTCAATAGCAGGCGATAGTAATTTCGGCAACAGACCTCACAACAGTAATTAACTAAATGAGATAGGGTAACAATTGCCTGGAAAGGGACTGAGTATATTTCTGGGATCACGGCAATTTTCTATAACTTGATCTGGGTGATGATTACGTTTGCTAAAATTCCACAGATTGTTAGTTTTTTATACAAATTAGTGTATATATGTCAATCCCAATATTCCAGTTCATCCATTCCCCCACCCCCAGGTTTTTCTCCCTTGGTGTCCATACATTTGTCCTCTACATCTGTGTCTCTATTTCTGCCTTGCATAAAGATATGTGCTTTTAACTCTACGTGAACTATAGTTCAAAATTAGTGACTGGTGAACGAAGGCAAGCTGGTGTAGACAATGAACAACTAGTTAGCATTTTACTGTAAACTCATTAAAAACTCGTTCTCCTTTAGTGTAACAGCCCTTACTGGTATTTGAATTATCTTTAACAGTAAAACGGCTATGACCACACTATTTTATTAGTGGAAGATACAGATAAGGATCCTTGGGAGGCGGTATTTCAACTTTGGGGATATGTCCTGCTCAACAGTGAGACAAGGAACCGTCCTAGGTTTCGCTTCGACCGGCACCCGCGGGTCTGTGCATTGTGGGATTTACTGCTGCCAGCAGTAAACTGCTCTCTGAACGCTGCTAAAGGGCGCAGCTGGTGCTGGCATTAAAAGCAAACCGAAAGACAGGTTATAGACACGAACTTGCTGTAACTTTGATTTGAACCGAGGTTGATGCAGCCACGACACAGCACTAATCACTGTACAGTCACGATGCACCAGAGGCCAACAGGTAATTTCTTTGACATAAATATTTTCACATTATTTTTGCTGTTTAATTCTTAGACACACATGCTCGTGCTTTTCTCTCTTTCACGCCCTTCTCCGGTTCTCCCTCCCTATTCAGTTACTTAATAAACAATTTTAATCTCTCAAGATCCGGCCTGTGCTTCACAGACTTCCTGGGAGGTCTGTCTCATCCATGCCTCTGCTTTCTTTCGCTCCTTTTCACATTTGCTCTTTGGACCTGATCTTCCCGCTGCAGCCAAGCCGACCACATCTACTAAACCGCTGCCCAGCGCGGGAGATGGTCGAGTGAAGGCGGAGCAAACGGGGAGCTGTCACGGAACCCATCGGGCACGCAGCTTCCCTCGGGCCTCCCTCAGCTCAGGCCCGGGGGCGTCTCCAGGGCGCCGACATCTGCGGCGGGTGTGGAGCAAGGCGCGGCGGGGACGCTCGGCTGCCCTTCTGCCTTCGGGATAGCCCGACGCACAGCTCCCCCACCGGAAGGAGCACACTGCGTCGACTCCTCCTCTCCCGTTGTCCGAGCCTTTGGAGCCGTCGCCGCTGTCCTGCGAAAGGCGGGTGGCTCCGCCTACCTTGGAAGGACTGCTTAAGTTCTACATAGATGAAAGAGGATATTTTTCCCAAGTCTCTGTGGCGCAGCCGGTTAGTGCGTTCGGCTATTAACCGAAAAGGTTGGTGGTTCGAGCCCATCCACGGACGCCTTCCTGGCTTTTTCACTATGTAATTTAAAGGTTTGCAGTTATTTCTGCCTTGTACATCATTTCTACTTAAACTCAGAGGAAGGCCTCCTTTACCTTTCTTGTCACCCGTGTCTTGTCCACAGCAAGAGAACCTAAGCCAAGATCACTGCTGCTCTTCTGATCCTCACAGAAGACCCCCGAAGGGCACAGGTCACTTGGAATCCAGGATTCCTGGAAAGAGGGTAGAGTCGTCATCTCATCGTTACCCTCTGGATTCTTTTTAACAGTGAAGTTTTATCCATTGTTTGTACTAGTATTTATTGAACCCTTTACATATACCTTTGAAATTAGTTTCTATGCTTTTATTATTACAAACAATACTGCACTCATCATTCTTGTACACATGTGTATGGGTAGAGTGCTAAAAGGGCAACTGTTCTATAAGAGAGTTTACATGGTTTTACATATGGTTCCATTCTCCCACCTTCCGTTGGCTTATTAGCTATAACTCTTTTGTTATTTCAGCGACTGCTTTAGGCTTTACAGCATACATTTCTACCTTATCACAGCCTGCCTTCAAGTGATGTCATTCCTCTTCACATTTCTCACCTGCCTGCCTTTATGCTATTGCCCTTATGCATTTTACTTTGCATATATTATAAACCCCGAATCTAAGGTTTTTACTTTTCTTTAAACTGTCCCATGTTTTTGAAGATATTTAATTGATAAGAAATGATCTTATATATTTTCCATGCAGATATCATATCTTTTGTCCTTCATTCCTTTATGTACACCCAGAATTCTATCTGGTGTGAATTTCCTTCTTCCTGGAGGACTCCTTTAACATTTCTTGTGGTGTGGATCTCCTGGTGATGAAGTCTTTCAGCATCTGTATGTCTATAAATGTCATTATTCACTTTTATTTTTGAAAGATATTTTGTGAGGGAAGACACATAGAATTCCATGCTGACTTCTTGTTTTCCCTCTCAGTTCTTTAAAGATGTTGCTCCACTGCCTTTATTTTTGTTTTTTGTATGTAGTATGTCTTATTGTTTTGGCTGCTTTAGTGATTTTTCCTTTTCCTATGGATTTGAGCAGTTTAATAGTAATGTGCTAGGTGTGGCTCTCTTCATATTCTTTGTGCTCAGGGTTCATTTGCCTCCTTGGATCGGTGGCTTTATAATTTACATTATAATTGGAATATTTTCTGTCTAGTTTCTTCAAAATTTTATTCTTCAAAAAACTTCTTCAGGTCATTTCAGGGACTTCAAACATTCCCACAATAGGCCTTTTAAAATTGTCCTAGCTAACACAGTCATAGTAGGGGACTTTAACACCCCACTTTAACCAATGGACAGATCATGCAAAATGAAAATAAATAAGGAAACACAAGCTTTAAATGATACATTAAACAAGATGGATCCAGAAACAACAGAATACACTTTCTTCTCAAGTGCTCATGGAACATTCTCCAGGAGGTCATATCTTGGGTCACAAATCAAGCCTTGGTAAATTTAAGAAAATTGAAATCATATCAAGTATCATTTCTGACCACAATGCTATGAGACTAGATATCAAGTACAGGAAAAAAATCTGTAAAAAACACAAACACATGGAGGCTAAACAATACACTACTAACTAACCAAGAGATCACTGAAGAAATCAAGAGGAAATCAAAAAATACCTAGAAACAAATGACAATGAAAACACGACATCCCAAAACCTATGGGATGCAGCAAAAGCAGTTCTAAGAGGGAAGTTTATAGCACTACAATCGTACATCAAGAAACAAGAAATAACTCAAATAAACAACCTAACCTTACACCTAAAGCAATAAAAGAAAGAAGAAAAAAAAAACCCAAAGTTAGCAGAAGGAAAGAAATCATAAAGATCAGATCAGAAATAAAAAGAAATGAAGGAAACAATAGCAAAGATCAATAAAACTAAAAGCTGCTTATTTGAGAAGATAAATAAAATTGATAAACCATTAGCCAGACTCATCAAGAAAAAAACGGAGAAGACTCAAATCAATCAAATTAGAAATGAAAAAGGAGAAGTAACAACTGACTCTGCAGAAATACAAAGGATCATGAGAGATTACTACAAGCAACTATATGCCAATAAAATAGACAACCTGGAAGAAATGGACAAATTCTTAGAAATGCACAACCTTCTGAGACTGAAACAGGAAGAAATATAAAATATAAACAGACCAATCACAAGCACTGAAAGCCAGGACCAGATGGCTCCACAGGTGAATTCTATCACACATTTAGAGAAGAGCTAACACCTATCCTTCTCAAACTCTTCCAAAATATAGCAGAGGGAGGAACATTCCCAAATTCCTTCTATGAGGCCACCATCACCCTGATACCAAAACCAGACAAGGATGTCACAAAGAAAGAAAACTGCAGGCCAATATCACTGATGAACATAGATGCAAAAATCCTCAACAAAATACTAGCAAACAGAATCCAACAGCACATTAAAAGGATCATACACCATGATCAAGTGGGGTTTATCCCAGGAATGCAAGGATTCTTCAATATACACAAATCAATCAGTGCGATAAACCATCTTAACAAATTGAAGGAGAAAAACCATGTGATCATCTCAATAGATGCAGAAAAAGCTTTCAACAAAATTCAACACCCATTTATGATAAAAACCCTCCAGAAAGTATGCATAGAGGGAACTTACCTCTACATAATAAAGGCCATATATGACAAATCCACAGCCAACATTGTTCTCAGTGGTGAAAAACTGAAACCATTTTCACTAAGATCAGGAACAAGACAAGGTTGCCCACTCTCACCACTATTATTCAACATCGTTTTGGAAGATTTAGCCACAGCAATCAGACAAGAAAAGGAAATAAAAGGAATCCAAATCGGAAAAGAAGAAGTAAAGCTGTCACTGTTTGCAGATGACATGATACTATACATAGAGAATCCTAAAGATGCTACCAGAAAACTACTAGAGCTAATCAATGAATTTGGTAAAGTAGCAGGATACAAAATTAATGCACAGAAATCTCTGGCATTCCTATATACTAATGATGAAAAATCTGAAAGTGAAATCAAGAAAACACTCCCATTTACCATTGCAACAAAAAGAATAAAATATCTAGGAATAAACCTACCTAAGGAGACAAAAGACCTGTATGCAGAAAATTATAAGACACTGATGAAAGAAATTAAAGATGATACAAACAGATGGAGAGATATACCATGTTCTTGGATTGGAAGAATCAACATTGTGAAAATGACTCTACTACCCAAAGCAATCTATAGATTCAATGCAATCCCTATCAAACTACCACTGGCATTTTTCACAGAACTAGAACAAAAAATTTCACAATTTGTATGGAAACACAAAAGACCCCGAATAGCCAAAGCAATCTTGAGAACAAAAAATGGAGCTGGAGGAATCAGGCTGCCTGACTTCAGACTATACTACAAAGCTACAGTAATCAAGACAGTATGGTACTGGCACAAAAACAGAAAGATAGATCAATGGAATAGGATAGAAAGCCCAGAGATAAACCCACGCACATATGGTCACCTTATCTTTGATAAAGGAGGCAAGAATATACAGTGGAGAAAAGACAGCCTCTTCAATAAGTGGTGCTGGGAAAGCTGGACAGGTACATGTAAAAGTATGAAATTAGAACACTCCCTAACACCATACGCAAAAATAAACTCAAAATGGATTAAAGACCTAAATGTAAGGCCAGACACGATCAAACTCTTAGAGGAAAACATAGGCAGAACACTCTATGACATCATTCACAGCAAGATCCACCTCCTAGAGAAGGTGGAAATAAAAACAGAAATAAACAAATGGGAACTAATGAAACTTAAAAGCTTTTGCACAGCAAGGGAAACCATAAACAAGACAAAAAGACAACCCTCAGCATGGGAGAAAATATTTGCAAATGAAGCAACTGACAAAGGATTAATCTCCAAAATTTACAAGTAGCTCATGCAGCTCAATATCAAAAAAACAAACAACCCAATCCAAAAATGGGCAGAAGACCTAAATAGACATTTCTCCAAAGAAGATATACAGACTGCCAACAAACACATGAAAGGATGCTCAACATCACTAATCATTAGAGAAATGCAAATCAAAACTACAGTGAGGTATCACCTCACACCAGTCAGAATGGCCATCATCACAAAATCTACAAACAATAAATGCTGGAGAGGGTGTGGGGAAAAGGGGACCCTCTTGCGCTGTTGGTGGGAATGTAAATTGATACAGCCACTATGGAGAACAGTATGGAGGTTCCTTAAAAAACTAAAAACAGAGTTACCATACAAACCAGCAATCCCACTACTGGGCATATACCCTGAGAAAACCATAATTCAAAAACAGTCATGTACCACAATGTTCATTGCAGCTCTATTTACAATAGCCAGGACATGGAAGCAACCTAAGTGTCCATCAACAGATGAATGGATAAAGAAGATGTGGCACTTATATACAATGGAATATTGCTCAGCCAAAAAAAGAAACGAATTGAGTTATTTGTAGTGAGGTTGTTGGACCTAGAGTCTGTCATACAGAGTGAAGTAAGTCAGAAAAATAAAAACAAATACTGTATGCTAACACATATATATGGAATCTTAAAAAAAAACAAAAAGGTTTTGAGGAACCTAGGGGCAAGACAGGAATTAAAGACGCAGATGTAGAGAATGGACTTGAGGACATGGGGAGAGGGAAGGGTTAGCTGGGATGAAGTGAGAGAGTGGCATGGACACATATACACTACCAAATGTAAAATAGATAGCTAGTGGAAAGCAGCCGCATAGCACAGGGAGATCAGCTCGATGCTTTGTGTCCACCTAGGGGTGGGATAGGGAGGGTGGGACAGAGACGCAAGACGGACGGGATGTGGGGATATATGTTTATGTATAGCTGATTCACTTTGTTATACAGCAGAAACTAACACACAATTGTAAAGCAATTATACTCCAATAAAGCTGTTTAAAAATTTTTTTAAAAAGAAGTTAT